AATATATTACAAGTAACTTTTATTTACAATTAAAATTTTATCTCATGAGTCACTTACATTTAAGACCAAAATGATACTATGTATATGTATCCACACGAAAATACATCCATATACATATATTTATTTTTCCACATAAATTATAAGTTTGAGCATAAAGGAATTAACAAAATATATATATCACTGTGATTCTAAATGTAAGTCACTTGTAGAAAAAAAAAATTAGTTATAAATTTAAATTATTTGTAGTGTATTTAATGCTTGCTTTCCAATTTTACTTTATTTAATTCTTATTGAAAAGAGAAATAAAAAAAAGATATGAGAATAATTTGTACATGTAGAGAGAAAGAGAGATAAAAAAACTTTAATAACAATCAAATTGAAAAATTTTGTCAATTTAATGCATTTCTTGACATGCAAAAATGAGTTGTAACTTATAAGTGACTTATAATAAGGACCGAGATGGTACTTCCTTCTATACTTTTTATAAAATTCAAAATTTTGAATTTATATCATATTCTCAATGGAGATAGTAGAGGAGTTTCCCTCCCCAAGGAAATTGTGCTCTGGTTAATTTATATGCCCTTTTGTTGTCCTGCTTTTATTGCCACAAGAATAAAAAAGGGTCAGGGATCGAGTTATTAGTCATGAATGTGTAAATGAAATGTGTGTTTATATTAATAGTAGCTCATTTTGACTCCTTGTATAATACCACATTCAGTCTTTAATATAAGAGCTAGTTGATTAATTTGAGTAGATTAAGAAAATTTGTTAAACTAGTTATTTGTAAAAAATATACTCCTTCAATCCTTAATATAGGAACCAATTCTATAGTTGATTTTGGTCTTAAATATAAGACCAATTGATTTTGGTCCTAAATATAAGACCAATTTCTCATATTTATCAATTTTCTCTAAATTACCCCTATGGATACTCCCTCAACCATAATCAAATAGAAGAGGGAGAGGGAGTATTAAGAAAGATGATTATGGTGTTTTAGGAAAAATATGTCACTTTTCTTATAATTAACTAACTTACCTAACTTCCTTAATCTAATCAAATTAGTTAAATGGGTCTTATATTAAGAATCGGGGGAGTATGTTGTTTTTCTTCAAATACTATTACTAATCATGTGCATTAACTAGAACTATTATTTGATAGAACATTTAATATGTACAACTATTATAAGGACTAATTTAAAAATAAATAAATAAATATGAGAGATATATCTATGACCAAATTAAAGGTTAACATATGCAACTATTACAATGACTACTTTAAAAAGATAAATGTGAGATATATCTATGACCAAATTAAAAATTAAACTAATTGTTATATTAAGGATTGAAGCTAGTATAATGATCATGCCATTCATTTTTAGGTGGCCGATTCTTCATTTTGATGCTACTTCTTGCCCATTTTTCATACCACTAAATATAATCATATAAATTAATTAGTTCAATATGTTCAAGCAATTATTTAAAATATTCATACAAATTAACATTGTTATTGCTATTCCTACTCCTCCTACTACTATTACGTTGTCGTTGCTTGCTGCTACCACACACATAATTTTGAGTTATACATTTATGCCCCTTAATTAAAATTCATTTTTATATTATATAATCCTCTTAGACTTTAAATTATATGTAGATAAACTCCTTAAATTTAAAATTATTTCCAGATTAAGTAATAAACAAAACGTAACTAGACAGTAAATGAGTTACCTATACAGGTCATGTAGTTTCTTGTAAAGTTTTTTTTTTGTTACAAGTGGCGGGATCGACCCCGTACACACACACCCCGCACACACGCACGCATACCACTCAGCCAAACGGCTGGTGGTAGGTTTCTTTTAAAGTTTTAAAGGTTGGGACTTGGAAAAGTTATTTACAATGATACAAAACTTAGATGATTTTTATTTAAAGGTTAATATAATTTTTGGTCCTTTAAATTTGAACTTATTTTGATTTTAGTCATTCAAATTTCAAATACATGGTTTTAGTTTCTAGGATATAGTTTGTCTTAAAATATTAGTCCCTAAAGACATAATGATATAAAAACCTACCAAAGTATTATAAATAGCATTAAAGTAGTTATATAACTCACTAAATAACACCTAACTAGATTTTGTGTGACTAATAAAGGATTAAAAAAAGAGAACAAGTCATCAAAACAAAGTTGTTTAGCCCCATTTTTATCCCCACTGTTTGTTTGAGGAATTGTTCATTACACTGCATTTTGAAAACCCATCTCTCTTCATATAATCGTAATTTGCATTGCATTTTGAGGAACTTTCTTTTTATTATCAGTAAAAAATCTAGTAATGTGCCATCAAGTGAGTCCACACCATCGTTTTAACACCGTTTATGATGATTCAACAAATTTTAATATCGTTACACCTCTAAGGTATAACGTTTTAAGACAAACTAATTTTCACTAAAAATCATAAGTTTGAAATTTAAGAAATCAAAACCAAAATATGTCTGAATTTATATTAACTCTTTATTTCTGAGAAACAAGACTTTTGAAATATTAATACTACCTCTGATCCTAATTATAAACGAGATTTTATAATTAGGATATTATACTACCATATTCCAACAACTGTTCATAATATTAAATGATGTTGCATATGGCCTTAGTGTTCCTCTTGGACAGCTGCTGGTAAAAGTCCTTTAGTTGCGTGTTCCCTGCGCTGCCTTCGAGAGAGGGACCCTTATGTGACTCGCTCTATAAATAAAAACATGATTTGTTAGCTAGCTACCAAACACATCTTTCACTCGTTGCCTTCCAAGTTTCAACTTTTGTTATGGCCTTTTCAATTCTACTCTGTTTCGTTTTTCTTCTCCCTTCCCTTTCTTCTTCCTCTAATCCATTGTGTAATCATCTTGATCACTCTGCACTTCTCCAATTCAAGGATCAATTCACAGCCTCATTTTTGTCAAGAACAAGATCGTGGGGGAATAGTTCAAATTGCTGCTTGTGGGATGGGGTCACATGTGGCCTTGATCTTAGTTTAGGTTTTCTTCTTGGTCAACTCACTTCAAATAGCACACTCTTTCAACTTGTTTATCTTCAGACACTCAACTTGGCTTACAATGATTTTGAAGGGTCTTTGGTACCATCTCAATTCGGTGACCTTCCTAATCTCACTCATCTAAATTTGAGCTCTTCTTTTTCCGCTGGTGAAATTCCTCCCAGAATCACACAATTTTCTAAATTAGTCTCTCTTGCTTTGTCTGTTACTTGGGGGAATTTGAGACTAGAACAATCCACATGGGAACAACTCATTTTAAAACATGACTGATTTAAGAGAACTTGTCTTAGATTATGTGAACATGTCTTCTGTTACGCCAAGCTCCTTCTATTTGTTTGTGAATTCATCATCCCCTTTGGTTTCCCTCAAACTTAAAAATACTAAGTTGCAAGGAAACATCACAAGTGACATTTTTCGTTTACAAAATCTTCAATGGCTGGATTTGTCACCAAATAAAAATCTTAAAGGTCAACTTCCAAGGTCCAATTGGAGCTCGCCTCTCTCATCTCTGGATCTCAACCTCACATCTTTCTCAGGAGGAATATTTGATTCCATAGGTGATTTGAGGCATCTTAATAATTTGAATCTAGAAAGTTGTGGACTTGAAGGACCAATTCCTCTGGGTTTGAGGAATCTCACTCATCTAACTCATTTGAACCTTGGCTTAAACAAATTGAGTGGTGAGATTCAATTCCTTTCAAATCTAAAGCTTCTCTCTTCCTTAATCCTTAGTAATAATGATTTTAGTGGACAAATCCCATCATCACTTTCAAGTCTGAAACATCTCATTGTCTTAGATTTTTCAGAAAATAATTTTATGGTGAAATCACAAATGTGTTTAGAGAGCTTAGCAACTTGGAGAGTTTATCAATTTCTAGAAACAACATAGGAGGACAGCTTCCATATTTGTCTAATCTATCTCAACTCTCTTCTTTTGATTGTAGCTTTAACAAATTAGTTGGTCCAATTCCAAATGAAATTTGCAAACTGTCTAAGTTGGTTGAGCTGGAATTGTCTCATAACTGTTCAGTGGAACAATTCCTTATGGGTGTTATTCTTCACCATCTTTGAAAAGTTTGCATCTTAATGACAACCATCTTACTGGGTCCATTAGCCAATTTTCAAGTTACTCATTGATGGAGTTTGATCTTTCCAACAACAGGTTGGAAGGAAATTTTCCATAGTCAATTTTTGGCCTCACAAGTCTTTCTTTCTTGAGTCTATCCTCAAATAATTTGAGTGGACTAGTTGATTTTTACCAATTTTCAAAGTTCCAAAATCTAGGGACCCTTGATCTTTCAAACAATAAATTTCTTTCACTGATGAGTGGCTTTAACGAAAATGCTGATCTACCATTGACATATCTTCAAACTTTAAATTTATCTTCTTTAAACATCAATAACTTCCCCCAGTTTTTAGTGAAGCTTCCCAATTTGATGATTTTATCTCTTTCAAACAACAAGATTCAAGGGACAATTCCCAAATGGTTCAATGATTTGGGAAGTGATTCTTTGGTTTATTTGGATCTCTCTCACAATCTTTTGACTTCAGTTGAGCATCTTTCAATGAGAAATATCCAAATTCTTGATCTTGGTTTCAACAAGTTACAAGGAAATCTACCAATTCCACCATTGGGTATTCTCTCCTTTTCAGTTTCCAACAACAAAATAAGTGGGCAAATTTCATCATTGATTTGCAATGCAAGCTCACTTATGATACTCAACTTGTCTCACAACAATTTGTCAGGCCCTATTCCATAGTGCCTTGTGGCCGTCCTATCCATTTCTGATCTAGACCTGCGAAACGATGGCCTTACGGGAACTATTCCTAACAATTTTTCAAAGAACAATATGCTGCAAACTTTGAATCTCAATAACAACAAACTTGAGGGACCACTCCCTAGATCCTTGGCTTATTGTGATCAACTTCAAATTTTGGATGTGGGAGAGAACTAGATTGAGGACACGTTTCCCAATTAGCTTGAAGGTCTACCAGAGTTACAGGTACTTGTTTTGAGAGATAATAAGCTGCATGGAACTATTACTAGTTCCAACACCAAGCATCCCTTTTGGAAGTTAAGGATTTTTTACATTTCCAGCAGCCATTTTAGTGGGTCTTTGCCAGCAGCATACATCAAAGAATTTAAAGGAATGGTGAAGGTAGACACTGTTGAAACAGCATCTCTGTACATGGAAAGTAGAAATGATCTCTTATATCAGTATTCAGTGAAGATCAATATGAAAGGTGATGCCATGGAGCTTGAAAAGATCTTGAAAATATTAACTACTCTTGACTTGTCAAGTAATAAATTTGATGGAGAGATTCCAAAAGTGATTGGAGAGTTATATTCACTGAAAGGACTGAATTTCTCCCACAATGGAATCACAGGTTCTATTCCTCAATCAATGGGGAATTTGACAAATCTTGAATGGTTAGATTTATCATGGAACAAGCTTGTGGGTGAGATTCCTCCAACATTGACGAATCTCAACTTTTTGGCTATTTTGAACCTTTCACGAAACCAGCTTGAGGGAATCATACCAAGAGGTAAGCAATTTGACACATTCTTAGAAGATTCATATGAGGGAAATTCAAGATTGTGTGGAGTTCCATTGACAAAAAGTTGCAGCAAGGATGAAGGAAAACTACCACAGCCATCTTCATCAACATTCTTTGAGTTTGGTTGGAAACCAGTAGGCATTAGATATGGATGTATGATGATATTTGGAATTTTCATGGGATATCTTGTATTCTTAATTAAAAAACCTCAGTGGCTAGTTAGAACTTTTGGAGGTCAAATTAAGAAACAAAGAAAAAATGCCAGAAATAGAGTTCATGCAAATCGAGGAAGAACGAATTAGCTGAAGAATTTGGTTTTGTATGATATTATAATTTCTGTGCATTTGTCAGTTTTTTTTTCCTTTTTCCCCTTTTGTTTGGCATATCCTATCATGTTCCTCACGTATTTCGGCAATAATGAGTGTAATATTTTCTTTTTTCTAATTTGATGTGCTCTTATTCTATTTGAGTAATTAAATTTTTAGTGATTTGCCATCATCATCTATATTGTATCAATTGTTTTTCATTTTCATCATGTCCTTTTCCCTTCTTTTCTTTTGAAAATTCTAACACATGAAAAGAAAAAAAAATCACCCATTCTTTATGAAATTAAATTTAAAATTTACCCACAAGCGTGTTTTTTTTGTGTGTGTAATAATTTAATAACGAGCTGTCTTAGTAGAAGCATCACCCATCATGGTTAAATGAGGTCATGTGTTTGAACTTAGCATTAACATGCTTACATTTATACACACATGTTTAATTGTATAAAATTAAAAAGATAGGTTAATATGGTTGATATACTTTTGGTGTTTAGTCATTTTAGTCCTTTTTCTTAAAAAAAATAATTTTTATAACCCTTCAAATTAGATATCAATACCTCTTGGTCCTTGTGCTTAACCTCCCTCTATATAGAGAGAATAGGATCATGCAATGCAATCATTTAGGACTTATTTAGTACTACCTCCGGTCCTAATTATAAGAGCTAGTTGACTAATCTGAGAAGATTAAAGAAATAAGTTAAGTTAATTGTTTGTAATGAATATGTGTTGTTTTTCTTAAAATATTCTTGGTAATCAAGTGTATTAGCTAGAGCTATCATTATTAGAAAGATTTTCTTGGGAAAAAAATGTATAAATATGAGACAAAAAGTAGATTGGGGTCTTATATTTAGGACTAAAATAAAAATTAAATGAAATCTTATACTAAGGATTGGAGGTAATATAATGAAATTTTGGGAGGGGGGGGGGAGGAGTAAGAACATGAATGGAAATCAAAATTGGAATAGAATCTACATAATCCCAAAAAATAGCGATGCAGAGCTGAATCAAACGCATCATGCAATTCTAGAGTGCCATGGTAGATTCAAGTATTTAGGAGAGGCTGCCACATATATGCATATAAAGCATTTTAAGGTTTTTTTTTTTTTTGAAGTACTACAACACAGAAGTTCAATCCCTAATTTCACTCCTTCAATTTTTCAAATTCAAAATTCCATTGCCTTATCATCACTCATAATATTAACTAATATAAACTTCCTTCCAAGCGACAAACACTTACATCACCAAGATACATCCTTATCTGTGACGGACTTAGATTCTCTCCACTTCTTCTCCCATCCTCTTTCCCTCCACTACTCTCTTTGGCCCTTTACAACCATTGGATCAAAACTTCAATGGTCTAGATTTAATATTTTACAACATTTTATAAAAATAAATATAATTATAAAAATAGATAAATAAATTTAAACTATTAAAATCTAATTTGAACAGCTCATATCTACAGATTATTATTACATAGCAAATTTTTTTCAACTTTTTTTTATTACAGTTATTAACTGTTTAGACCAGATTTTAACAGTTTAAATTTATTTATTTATTTTTAATAATATTATTTTTATAAGATGTCAAATTTGAATCATTGGAATTTTGGATCCAATGGTGTGAAGGGAAAAAGAGGGTAGTGGAGAGGAAGAAGATGGGAGAAGAAGTGGAGAGAATCCAAATCCGTCTGGGATAGGCTTTGTTCGCTTTTTTTTTCCCCAAAGAGAAATGAATCTATACACCCATCATACACAACCCATAATTTAACAACACGGGTTACACAATTCACAACCTTCTAGAGAGGGGTGGGGTGTCACGTGAGCTATAAATTCTTCGCGATAAGCTTAGTTTACTAACATGACTTATGTAACTCAACACCAAACAAAGTGTGTATATAAAATATATATATATATATATATACACACACACACATGTACACACACATATATATGAATATACACATGGCATTTATTCTATTGCTTACAATGCAGATTAAAAAGAAATGCATTTAGCATATTATAAATGTAATAGCATGTGTGTTAGTAGCCCTCAATACATGAGAACCAGTTTCGGCACTTATTAAGTTATTGTAATTATGAACACCATGATACTTATTTAAATGCAGTTTTAATGATCTAAATTTAAACTTCTTAACTGATAATTTTTTAATAAAAATAAAAAGTATTTTTATAAAACTTACAATTAAGATATTACATTTATTTTGGATCATGTATTTCGGGAAAAAGACAGGAAAAATGACATTTGAATTTCATAATACCCAAATGGTTTGTTGAATTTGAGAAATCCCAATTTTGTCTCAAGAGACAAAATTGGGATTATCATATTAAAAAAAAAGACCAAATTGCCCTTCATTTTATTGATTGTTTTTAAAATATCAAAGCCCTTACTAGCCGGCTGGTCGGTTGCTGGAGCTCCTACTGCAGCAGTCACCAGACCTCTGGCGACCGGTTGACAATTGGTCACCGCAGCTCCGGCTATTGGAAACAATTTTTTAAAAAATTTTTTACTACTTCAGTACAACGGTTAACAACTTTTGTAAGCTTATTAACAACTTCAGTATAGCAGTTAACAATAGGTTTTCTGGGAAATTCAACAAGTTTCGGTAACCTGAAACAATCTTTTTGAAAATTTTTACAACTTCAGTATAACGGTTAACAACTTTTGTAACGCTATTAACAATTTCAGTATAGCAGTTAACAACATATTTTCTGGGAAATTCAACAAGCTCCAACTGCCTGAAACAATTTTTTTGAAAATTTTTACAACTCCAGTATAACGGTTAACAACTTTTGTAACGCTATTAACAACTTCTAACGCTATTAATAACTTCAGTATAGCGGTTAACAACAGGTTTTCTGGGAAATTCAACAAGCTCTGGTGGCCGGAAACAATTATTTTGAAAATTTTTATCAACTTCAGTATAACGGTTAACAACTTTTGTAACGCTGTTAACAACTTCAGTATAGCAATTAACAACAGATTTTTTGAGAAATTCAACAAGCTCCGGCAGTCGGAAACAATTCTTTTGAAAATTTTTACAATTTTAGTATAACAGTTAATAACTTTTGTAACTATATTAACAACTTCAGTATGAGAGACAAAGTGGATTGAGGTCTTATATTTAAGACTAAAATAAAAGTCAAATAGGGTCTTATATTAAGGACCGGAGGTAGTATTATTTTTCCCCAGAGAGGTTCAATTGGACCCTAAAAACAAGGCCAAATGATTTTCAAGAATTAAATTATGATTTTTGAAAATCTATGTTCAAAATCTAGAATTTTGAGACGGATTTTAGTGATTATAAATTGTATAAATTGGAATGTTAAATTGTAAGAAAGCATTTTTCTCATGAAGAGTTATGCTTAGAATAAATTTTATAAATTGTAACCAGTGTCAAACAATTATCTTATGATTAGTTATGAATTTTTTGAGTTAGGATATCATCAATTATGAAATTTTTTTCGTGAATAGTGACATGAGGCCCTTTTGAAAGCTGAAGTTCTTTTTTTGGGCCAAGGAAAGCTGAAGTTTAACTCTTAGTAATAGTGAATAATAATGGGTTCAAATGAGCGAAAATGTATAGAATTATTTTTTGGTACAATGTAATTGAATTAGAAATTAAAAGGAAGATGGGACCGGTCCTGTAAAACGTCGGCAGATAGAAAAGGGTCCCGTAAAACATTCCGTCCAAATTGCCACCCAGACATTTAGCTATTGCACACATATATATTTTATATACACACATATAGGAAAATACTTACATTAATTTTTTTATATCTATTATATCAAATTCTTCAATCATATATAATTATTATTCTATTTTTGAAATATTAATACTCCAATTCTAAATATAATACTCTTTTTCTAGTGTGTATAAAGGTTTTATATTTAGGACCGGAAGAGTATTTAATAGCATTTAATTATAAATACACATGAAATAGAAAACAACACATGGTTATGTATGATTGAAGAATTTGACATAATAAATATAAGCAATTTGGTCTAAGTTTTATATATATATTAATTAGGTTATGAACAGTATTTTTTCAAAAGAAAAATACTTGATCATGGAAATTGCAAATCTAGTTTTGTGTGTTAAACACCACCAATTGGGTTTGGATTCTCTTATTTTTCTCATTTTTTTCCTTCTCAGAATTTTATGTCCATCCTTAGATTAAAAAAAAAATGGTTATTAAAATTTGACATGCACGTACTACATAACAAATATAAAAATTTTAATTTCTAAAATTTTAAATCTAAACTACCCATATTTTGATCTAAGATAGATGTAAGGTTTTGAGGAGAAAAGAAAAATACTACAAAAAAAAGGGTATTAGTAACAGAATTTTATTCTGTCCCTAATTTGTCTCAAATCCGTGACAAATTCTGTTATTAAAATTAGCAATGGAATTTAGTGACAAAATTTTTTAGCTGCGGGTTAGTAATGAAATTTTATTCGGTCGCCAAATTAATAACAAATTAGTGACAACAATTTATCCCACACTAAATTCCATCACGGATTTTGTTGTAAAAAGGTTAGCGACAGAATTTTTTTATTACTAATTTTCGTTACTAATCCGTCCCTAACTCCCCTCACAAAACATTTTATGATGGAATTAATGATAAAAAAATTCTGTCACTAATTTCTATTGTTATTCTGTCACTAATCTGTCACAAAAAATTATAATATAAATATATAATAATTATTTTTAATATTTATTATTAAAATAAAAATATAATATATGATAATTTTCAATAATATATTATATAAATAAAAATAAAAAAATATAATTATTATTTTGTTTAATATTTGAATAAAAATATTAATGATTAATTATTTTTAATAAAATAAAAAATTAAATTGAAATAAATTATAATATATTAAATTATATATAATATTTATTATATATTTGTATTTTTAATTATAACTACTATATATATTTATTTACTTTTGCATTAAAATTTTGTAAGTATTTCTCAACTAAACTGACAAAGACTTTAGCACGCAGAGGTCCGGAGTTCAAACCACCACTTATTCACAAAAATTGGCTCAATATGTGACGTGGCGATGACATGAGGTCTCAAAACAATGTTATGCTTGGCAACGACATGGGCGAGAGGATGATGTTGCATCATGGGAGAGAGAAGGCGATAATGTGGCAATGAGACGATGACGTGGCAGCATAGGGGAGAGAGAACCGGTGATGAGGTGGAGGGTACTAATGACGTGATGGTTGCCATGTGGTATTTTAAATTTACAAAATAAAAAAAATCTAGCAACGAAAATTAGTGATCATCATTAATTTTTGACGGAATTTTCATTACAAATCTGTTACTATTTTATAACAAAATTTTTATGAGATATCTGTCTCTAATTAGCAATGGATTAGCGACAGAATTTTCTATCACTAATTGCAATAGCTAATTAGTGACAGAATCTTGAAATCTATAACTCAATAACTAGTAACGGTGGAATTAGAAACAGAAAAAATTCTGTCGCTAATTCCTTTGCTGAATAAATTCTATCATTAATTTTGATCAGTAATGAAAATTCCTTCACTAAATTTTGTCACTAATTTGCTGTTTTTTTTTTCTTTTGTAGTGAAAAAAAAGGAAAGGGAAGGATCTATTTCCAATCAATTTGGTTTAGTCAATCCTCTGACTTATATCACCAGTGTCCTTGAAACTTCCTATAGATTTTCGTGTTATGCAAATTCAATTCTTTATTGATAAATATTTTTGATGCGATGTTAATCTGATCTAATTATGAAGAGAAAGTATTTGCATTTGTTTGCTCGTCACATCTTATTCTTGATATTGTCATGTGTGTTCAGAAAATTTTATTAACAGGGGCCCTTTTTAAGTATATGACAGCCAAATTTTTCCAAGTTTTGAAAGTTCTCCTCATATATGACCCTACAACCCCTTATACCCGTAGATTATTAATTCACAGAATTTTCTTTTGAACAAATTACGATGAAGTTTTTCCCAAGTTTTGATGACAAACAAATTATTTTGGGAAGAAATTTTCTAAGTTTTGTTAAAACAAAAGAAACTCCTGCTATTTGCTATTAATTTCCATGAGATATTAAGGAGTTTGTAATAATGATAAAGACTTAGGTATAAGTTTTCTTTGTATAGTTATAGGCACCATACGTGCCCATCATTCATTCTTTGGATGGTCCATTAATTTTGTTTCTTAATATTTTAGATCTATAGAAAATTATTAAATTAACAAAATAATCCAAATTTCTTGATTTATTAATAGTGACAAGGCTTAGTCAAAAAGCATGCTTCTAGGAATTAATTTCTAGTCAAAGAAAGAAAAGTTAGTCTTCTTTGTAGTTATTTATTCTGCATACTTTTTTTTTTAATTCATTTTTTACCTGAAGTTTTCTTACAAGAGTTCGTGCTTAGAAAAAATGCTGTATAAAAATCCATGATCTAACTTAGTTTAAGTTTTACATTGAAAAAAAATATAATCCTCCATGAGTAAAATAGATAACATGTAAAAATGTGTGCGAAGCCTTCGTAACAAATTTCAAATATTACACTTCACCACCTTGGATTCCATACAAATGTACAAATATAATTTTGCCCAACATATACATAATTATCATTTTTAGCCTTATATAGGATGAAATTTTTGTTCAAAAAAAAAAGAATAAAATAGGT